ACAGGCTGCCCAGGGAGGCTGTGGAGTCTCCTTCTCTGGAGATACTCAAGACCCGCCTGGACAAGGTCCTCTACAGCCTACTGTAGGTGACCCTGCTTCGGCAGGAGGGTTGGACTGGGTGACCCACAGAGGTCCCTTCCACCCCCGACCATTCTGGGATTCTGTGATTAAGGGAGACAGAAGCCCCTCTGCAGCTGGACCACGGCGAGGGACGCTGCCTTCGGCACGGCCGAGCCGGAGGAAGAGCAGCGGGGCTGCGGGATTTGGCAGTGCTCCATCTGCATGGCAGAAGTCCCATTTCTGTCCCAAAATTCAGAGCTAGCGGCTCCTGCTCACCCAGAACAACGGAGAAAGTGGTGGGTTGGTTTTGGTTTTGGTCCCCCCTTTGGCCAGCTCCCCGCGGATGGAGGTGACCCCCCCAGCACCGGTGCAGAGGGAGCTGCCGTTCCTGAGCTGCTGCTGTAGAAGGAGCCGCAGCCTGGGTTCGGTGGGCTCAGGCAGGGCTGGATCAAGGCTGATCAACATTTTGTCTCCTGGTTTCTCTAAAATGGGTTTGCTTTGTCCGAACAGAGGAGCAGCTGTTCCCAGCACCGCACAGAGCAGATCCAACAACCCACTTGGGCACTGAGCCTGCCCAGCAGGACCCCAGTGCCCAGCTCCCAGTGCCTCCTGCTCTCAAAATATTGGGAGTTTTGTGAGAAAACCACTAAATAAGCAAAGTACGCTGAAATGTGGAGCTCTGGGGAAGGCTGAAGTTTTCGGGATGGGGTCAAGGCAAAGGTTTTCCTCACTTTGCTGCCTTGCACCGGGGCATCTCCAGCATGAGCCAGCACAGATCTTTTGCGCCCTCGAGAAGAGAGAAATCCCAGTTGCGTGAAGACTTCACCTTCCCTCCAGTTTTAGGAATGGATGTTTTAGTGTGAGGAACGGGAGATGGTGGCCAGTTCAATGGGGCTGTCTTCATATGCCCCCCAGTGCCCTCCCAGCCCTCCTCTCCTGCACCATGAAGTGTTCTGTGGTGGGGTTGGAGTCCCTTTTCATCTGCTTCTCCTTCCCCTCTGCAGTTTCTGCCCAGTTTCTCCTGCAGTGAAAAATCCCCCAAACCTCTGCCAGCGAGGCTGAGCCAGGGCCATTCTGGTTGTGAGCTGGAAGTGAGAGGCAGCCGTCGGAGAGAGACCTCCTGTCCCAGGAGACGTCGTTATCCGTGGGAGACCTCGTTATCCGAGGGAGACGATGCTGCCCTTCCCAACGGAGAGCAGCTGGCTGATTCCCAGCGAGGGGGGTGGGAAATTCTGGCTAAGAAGCGTGGCTGAAAGGACCCCCTGCTCATCCAGAAGTGTCTTTGCATCAACGGGGAGCAGATGGGAACCGTGGCATTTGCCTCCACTTATCCAACACGTCAGCTTAGCTGCAGTACCAAAGCTGGTGTGACCCAGCTGAGATGGCCAGGGCTGGTGCGTGGGAGGTCGGAGACAGCCCAGCTGCTTGCCTGGCTCCTGCAGAGGCGGGGTTCTGATGTGGCTTCATGCTGGAGGAGCTGGAAATTGCCTTTCATGAGAGTCATTTGTCTTTGAGCCGTTGGGTACAGCAAGCACATTCTGCTTTCTGCTTGGCTAGCTAAAGAGACGAGCGTGTAATGGAAGAAATGATGTGCCTGTAAATGTTTTCTCAGCTTCAAACTGCGCCCTTAGATCTGGGCTGCTGTCTTCTCGCTTCACGAGCAGCACTCAGTGTTTTGCAGGAGTCTCTTGGAGTGTTGGAGTAAAGACGCCATTTGTGCAGCATCGCTTTGCCTGGGGAGCTGCCCAAACGTTCCCATCACAGAATCCCAGAACGGTCGGGGTTGGCAGGGCCCTCTGTGGGTCACCCAGTCCAACCCCCTGCCCAAGCAGGGTCACCCAGAGCAGGATGCACAGCACCGCGTCCAGGCGGGGCTGGAATATCTCCAGAGAAGGAGACTCCACAGCCTCCCTGGGCAGCCTGGGCCAGGGCTCCGTCACCCTCAGAGGGAAGAAGTTCTTCCTCCTGTTCAGGTGGAGCTTCCTCTGCTTCAGTTTGTGCCCGTTGCCCCTTGTCCTGTCACTGGGCACCCCTGGAAAGAGTCTGGCCCCGTCTTCCTGACCCCCACGTCCTGTCACTGGGCACCACTGGAAAGAGCTTGGCCCCATCCTCCTGACCCCCACCCTGCAGATATTTAGAGGCATTTCTAAGGTCCCCTCTCAGCCTTCTCTTCTCCAGGCTGAACAAGCCCAGCTCCCTCAGCCTCTCCTCGTAGGAGAGATGCTCCAGTCCCCCCATCATCCTCATAGCCCATCGTGCTCTCCTCCCGTGCGGTATTTCATGGCAGACTTTTGCAGCTGAATGTATTGAACGGGTATGAAGAAAAAATCCTTCACCTGGAGAGAAACACAGCGTGTTGTTTGCACCACCTAAATTTAGGCTCCTTTCTCCACTGCTTCTGTTGGGGAAACTGGGCTGGCAATTGGGAAACGGCTCCTTCCAAGGGCTCTTAGGACTTTCCACCTGTCCTGTAGAGCGGCCACTTCACTCCCTCCTCGAGTGCAGCCACCGATGTAAAGTACAAGTGAGATCCATTGACTGTCTAATTGAAGCTCCCAGAGGAGCTTAAAGAAGAAGAACTTAATTACCCAGCCTGGAGCCTGGGCAGAAACGCAATGTTCCCTTCCTAAGTGCCTACTAACCAGCAGGGTTGGTGCCTTCTGCTTTCAAACACTGGGTGCAGCATATTTTCAATTAGTCCTTTCAGTGGGAAAAAAAGATGGATTTCTAGCTAAAAATAACCCACGTTACCTACCTTAGAAAGTCTTTCTTGCTGTAATTCAAAAACCATTGAAGTTAGGTCAGCTTCCCAAGGAGGGCAGGTTGGCTGCTGCGTTCTCCTCTGTGCAGAAAGCGCTCCCCAGCTAGACTTCGTTTTCCTGGAGATTTAACGTGCCATCTGTGAAATGAGGATAATCCTCGCTTTGGCCAGGGCATAAGCTCCTCGAGGTCAGACTGTCTGTGTAGCACCTGTGGGATGTAAGACCAGGGTCTCGACTCCAGGTTCTGCAGGACAAGCGAGGAGAAGGCTTCCTTACCTCTGCATAACGTAACCAACTCGATGTGCTTTTTTTTTTTTTCCCACTAGGTCTCTGGAAGTTCGTTATTTCACGTACGGGATCCTCTTCGGCTGCGGCAGCTCCTTGGCCTTCCAGCCCTCGCTCGTCATCCTTGGTCACTACTTCAAGCGCCGCCTTGGCTTGGCCAACGGCATCGTGGCCCTGGGCCAACGGCATCGTGGCCGGCGGCAGCTGCCTCATCTCCGTGCCGCTCCCCTTCTTCCTGAAGATGGTGGGGAAGGCCATTGGGCTGGCGCATACTTTCCAAGTACTCAGTGCCTTAATGTTCATCCAGATATTCTTGTCCCTGACCTATCGGCCCATCTTGCCCTCTTCTTGTGACTCTCATCACGATGGGCAGGACAAGCTGGGCAGCCGGAGCAAGCGGCAGCAGTGCTGGTCCCAGACGCGCAAGTATTTCAACTTGAGGGTTTTCCGGAGAAAGACCTATCGGATTTGGGCCTTTGGGATTGCTACGGCTGTCCTGGGATATCTTGTACCTTACATGAACCTGGTGAGGGCCTTGGCTGGGATGGGAAGGGGAGGGAGGTCCATTTGCCCTGAATGAAAGGGTTCCTCTGTGCAAGCGAGGAGGAGGTGGGAAGGTGGACATGGGCAGCAAAAGCCTTGAAGTTAAGAAACTGCTGCAGGCATGTCCTGTAAACAGGAATAGTGATGAGAGGAGACAGGTTTTTAATGTTCTTGTGTGTCCTCTGTGCCAAGGTGGGCAGAGCAGTTGCTTCCCGTGGCTCCTGAGGATAAGCATCAGTAGCAGGAGAGGAGGGGGCTGTTGGGTTCAGGGTGGGTGGAGGTGAATTGTAGAATTGTAGAATGGTTTGGGTTGGAAGGGACCTTTAGAGGCCTTCTAGTCCAACCCTTTGCCATGAGCAGGGACATCTTCAACCAGATCAGGTTGCTCAGAGCTCCGTCCAACCTGACCTTGAACGTTTCTAGGTGTTGTGTGCAGGTCAGCGTGGTGCAGCCATGAGGGTCACACAACCGCCCCCAAAGCCACGAGCCCTCTGTGGGAAGTCGCGTCCCTTTTTGGGGTATGAGAGGGATTAACATTCTGAGGATTCATGTCCTTGCGTCCTTCCCTTCATCCTAGGTAAAATACGTGGAGAAGCGATTTCAAGAAACCAAAAAGGACTGGATCCTCCTGGTTTGCCTCGGAGCCATGTCAGGGCTGGGGCGCTTGGTTTCAGGCCGCATTGGCGACTGCATTCCTGGGCTGAAGAAGATTTACCTGCAGGTACATTGTGTCCGGCGCTCCGCGTAGCCGCTGGCTAACCACTGCGGATCAGGAGGTGGCATCTCTACGTCAGTATTGGCACGCTGCTTAATAGCTGTCAACCACAGGTCGCAAATCCAACCCAACACCGTCGTTTGCTGTTGGGGAAGAAAATTTATTATAGGAAGGTGTACAGAGAAGTTACACACTTGACCTGAGGTCTCGGTGTCCGTTCAGCAATCTAACTCTGTGGTCCCAACTCTTCCCAAACAGCTGGACACCCCCTCACCTTCTTGTGGTTTTTGAAAAACAAGCTGCTGAAATCTAGCAGCTAATCCAGCAGCTAATCCTTCCTAAAGCTTCTTAAAAGGTTATTCTTGAGGGCCTTTCGGAGACGAGAGCAGAGGATGGATGGCGGTGCTGGGTCCAGAGGGTGGGGTGGTGTACCTGTTCAGTGTCATCTTCATGACGCTTCCTGCTGCCCGTCCCCACTCATCCTGCACCCCAGTGACGTGCCCGCTTCTGTCTCCCCAGGTTGCGTCCTTCATGCTGTTGGGCATCCTGTGCATGATGATCCCCCAGTGCCAAGGTTTCGAGGGCGTCATTGTCATCTGCCTCTTCCTCGGCCTTTGCGATGGCTTCTTCACCACCATCATGGCGCCCATCGCCTTCGAGCTGGTGGGGCCCATGCAGGCCTCCCAGGCCATAGGGTACCTCATGGGGCTGATGGCCGTACCCATGACTGCGGGTACGCCGATAGCAGGTTGGTGACGCCACGGTGCCAGACCTGGGCCCAGCTGTTGGGAGGGAGCAGATGCTTGTAGCGGCTTTCGCCCATGGTGATATTTTGGTGTGAGAGAGGACATATGGCTTTGAATTTTCTGGCTTACCATGTCGCATGGGTGTTGAAGTAGAGGTGTAGCATCACTCCATGCTACATCCTGTAGCATCTCAGGGCCTTCCTCCCGGGCTGGTGAAAGGTGACCAGTGGGGGAACAGTGAGAGCAACCCAAGAGCACATTTAACTGATTTCTGTTTGAAGCTGAGCTAAAAATTGGCAGATACGAGTTTTCTGAAAGTCCTTTTAGATATCTGGGGACTGATTGTTAACCAGTAAGTTCAGCCCCTGGGCTGCTGAATCAAATTTAGAGATGGAGACACCCGAGCCTCTGTCTTCCCAAGACTTGGCTATGTGTTTAAGCGTAGTAATAACCACAACGTCCTCAACGGCGAACACTTGGCCAAAGCTGGCCCTTGAACAGCAGAATGTCTGCATTAGCAATCGCTAAGCTAAGGCTGGGCAAGCACCTCGGGTCTTTCTGCTTCTGGCAGCCAAATTCAGTTGAAAGCCCCGGTGAAGGAACGTGGGGGTTGCAGAGGTCTCGCTGGTGGGGTGCTGCGGCAGGACACCCTGCGTCGGGCTGGGTCAAGGGGCTCATTTCATGGATGTAATCCCCAGGCAAGTGTCTACACAGGAGGAAACTCTGAGGGGTTTTCCAGTGCTGATACATGGCAGTGCGTTATGCCCGGGGATGCCTGGCTTGTCAGAACATGCCGAGGTAGCATGTGCAGAACCTGGTGAAGTTCAACAAGGGCAAGTGCAGGGTCCTGCACCTGGGGAGGAACAACCCCATGCACCAGTACGGGCTGGGGCTGACCTGCTGGAGAGCAGCTCTGTGGAGAGGGACTGGGAGTGCTGGGGCGGACGACAGTTGGCCCAGGGCCCGGCAGGGTTCCGGGGCTGCCAAGAAGGCCAATGGGATCCTGGGGTGCATGAGGAGGAGTGTGGCCAGCAGGTCGAGGGAGGTTCTCCTTGGAGACTTGGAGACCCTTGGATTGGGTGACCCACAGAGGTCCCTTCCAATCCCGACCATTCTGGGATTCTGTCATTCTGGGAACTGGTTTTTAAGGGCTTGGTTATTGTTTGTAACTGATATTCTATATACCACAGTTCTATAATTGTGTATTCTTCAGCTGACGTCCCTGTGCAGATAAAATATCCGGGAGCAAAGCAGGGCTTCCAGATGGAGGAAATCTGCAGAGGAGCAGCTCCTGCCTGCTTTTCCTATTACCTCCTAGTGGGCAAGGTGCTGGGAAGAGCCACCTGAAGTGTTCGGTTGTTGAACACTGCCCCAGCTCGCGTTTGGGATCGCTTGGGATGTGTCTGCTTGCGTCCCGTTCCGGTGAAGCAGGCAGGACGGCTGAGGCTTTCCTTCTTGGCTTCCCTGCTGCGCAGTGTTGGCTGTGCACATCCTTTAATCCAGGGTGTAAAACCTCCCAAGAAATGCAGGGATAAAAAAAAGATTGTTGGAAAAAAA